CCATCATGGAACAAAAATAAGTGGAGTTCAATGTTCTACGAATATTGATTGTTTCAAGTCGTGAGACTTCAAAACAGCACAGCAATAAGGAATCATAGAAAGATATAGAAAAAAGAAGGGGAGTTAAAGCAAATAAAAAATTGTGATAAAACGCCTAAGATGAAAATAATGTGTTGAATTGATCTTTATCATTGCGATAGGTCATGAGACCTATCACCTAGGATCTCTATCTAGTGGTTTCAGTTGTCACACAGACCCCACCCAGCTAGTCTACATGGCTTCATTAAACTTATACCACTTTTCGGTCTGATTACCTTAAGAGTTTCCTTAACCTATACATTCCTCACCTTCACATCTTGACGTTGAATTAGATGGTGATCCAGCATGTTTTACACGTTTGTTGCATACTTCAGTCGACTAAGGTTCAAAATCTCATAAAGTGACATTCCTCTTTAAACTAAAACTCTATCCCTTAATACTATACTACTCACATGTTGGTTTCATATTACATGGAAAGTATCTTGAAGGCAACGATGCTCATTTACCTCGAGTCTACTTATGTCGCCTACCTTCAGTAATCAGGTTTTATAGCGTCAAAACGAACAAAAAGAAGATAATGAGTACAGAGCAAGTCAGTAAGTGCAAAGTATTTATATGTTCTAATATTATCCACTTAACGACGGGATAATACAAGCAACAACATTAAAACTATACCCGTCTCACAAAAAGTGCCTATCGTGACTCGATGGTTTAGTGGGTAACGCTCTGGAGTTAAAAGCAATCGGTCCCGAGTTTGGGTCCTAGGGGGAAAACATCACTCACTGGGAGGCAGGTACATCCAGCTGACCAGTCCCAAATAGGAAAAACTGCTTTCTGGATTCCACTGCTAGCCACTATCCATCATTAACATATTATAACACTTTGATTTTTGTTATGTAGAATTAGTTAAAAAATCTATACACCTTAGTTGCTGTAATGAATTTTATAAAGTATAACTCAGAATTTCTTAACCCATTTGCTATTAACATCTCAACGAACTCGGCGCAGAGAGTATCCTACTGGTATCATACTAACAGTGAGTTGACATCTGAACTACACCTTTATCTTGGTTGAACTCTACTCTCAACCTTATCCTATTCAAACCGAAATCATGAGTTGAGAGTAGTTGGTAGCTGAGTTTATTTATCCCCAGGGTAGATTCTACACAACTCAGTCAGTATATCCACTGGTCATTACTATCAAATTGAATTTACAAACAATATCGAGATATCTGCGCATGAGTCAAAATACCAGTAGAGGTCGGTCAATTTGATCCCATCAGTGGTGGGAAATTAAAAAAAATGACATAGGAACTATGCCCGTTGCACAGGTAGTGGCTATCGTGATTCAGCAGTGGCCTAGCGCATAACGCTCTGGCATTTCAAGCGATTATCCCCAGGTTCGAGTCTTATTGGGAATAACATCGCTCACTGAGAAGCAGGTACATTCGACTGATGAGTCCCAAGCAGGACGAAGCACGTCCCCTGGATTCCATTGCGAGCCACTATCTATCATTACTACGACATGAATAACAGATAAACTAAAGTTTGCGTCGATCCATCTGATGATTTATTACTCATTTACCTATGAATATATTGCCCTCAAAGAATTCTTCAGCCTTATTGTTCTTGTAACAAGCGTTATTTATTCAATACAGCTGTTATTCCTTTATATGTACAACTAATTTCTGTACTCTTAGGAAGTTTATATCTTTTTCATCTACAAATTTTTTTTTTGCTTTAGTTTCTCTTTGATACAACTCTTTATGGACTTTTATTTTTGTACTTAGTACAAAATCATCTTTGTTTAAAAGTATCATCATGATTTTTTTAACTGTGCTGACCTTTTGAGGAATTTAAGTGGCGTGATATTAATTCCTTTTCTTCGTTCTTTCTTCTCAGTGAATGTTTTGCTTTCTCTCTGTCTCTCATCCAATGCTGCTGAATTTAACTCATGGAACTTCATGCATCGTATCTTCCGTATGAGTAATAGGAGAGGAGTTAGAAAATGTCTGCCTTAAAATTCGCGAACTCTCTAACCGACTGACTGATTAACTAATAAAATCAGCATAGAACCTCGCATACAAGCACATCGGCTCAAGTTGCCACACTTCACGATAGTCCACAAGGAACAGGTGGATAGAAAAAGAGCAATCTCACAGTACACCAAGTTGTTTGAGAGAATAAACAATCTGAAGATAAAGGTTTGTGTAAATATTTATACTTTAGGAGATGTCAAGGAGTGAATACATCTGCCTCACTGTAACCGATTTTCAGTCATATCTACAAAAGTCCTCAACCACCGGTTCCTACTGTCCTGCGAACCTCATTCAGGTAGTCTATATCCTCTTACATGACTTAAACCAACAGTCATAGACTTAAGGCACTGGTGCTGGATCTTGTTCTGGCCGACATGAATCCTCTTCCAACCTAGTTCAGCCTTCCTCAGCATGGCATATCGAGTTGGGCTGTGGATCGGCATGGGCAGTACATGTACAAGCCATCTCAGTCAACTATGGTTCACAACCTCATAAATGGACTTGCCTATCTTGCCTAGTACCTTTCGCGCGACTTCAACATTGCTCACACAGTGATTCCATCAAAGGTGGCAGTGCTACAAAAACATCTGTGATCCAAAGCCTAGAATCGCCTCACGTCTTCTGCTTTTGACGAGCATATCTCACAGCCGTAAAAGAGGACACTACGGACTTCAACACAGTGTACTCGTCCTTTGATAGGTGGTCGGATATCTCGCCGGAGCCATGGGTGATAAAGGTTGGCAAATGCCAATAGGGGCTTCTGTATCCAAGACACGCCTCTTGCCTTGCGGTATACAGGAACCGGTGATAGGTTTATACGTGGATTCAAAAAAACAACTTAAGTATCAAACTTCTAAAAAGCCGTATGTAAATGGTCTTAAACGTATGATCTTTGACGACTGTCGCTACGCACCATTATTACCAAGAAAAAATAGCCTTTTACGGTGTATGTAGTTGAAAGTGTCAACTCTGTCAGCACTTAATTTCCCTCAAACCACCATCAAACTTGACTTTACCCCCTAATTTTTTATTATCATGTCTCTCGATCAATATTCGCACATCGTATTTGATTTCCTCCAGCTGTACAGTCTTGCTAGCTATTCAGATTGATGGAACAGCATCACTGCTCTTTTGAAACTACTCTCTCAACCATAGATTGGAGCTTCGAATGGCTGCAACCTCCATGAAATTGACTAACAAGCTTCGCAAGCCAAAATCCTAGCATCTCAGGCCATAGGTGTGTGGCGTAATTGTGAGACGCATACAAGACTCCAGTTCAGTTATTGACTAAACCTCACTGGATTGATGTAGTAAAGTTGCGAAACTCACCTTTCGAGTTTTTAGAGATTCAATTGCTACTTCTTGTCATCTCGCATCAGGTGCTAAGGCAGAAAGTGCACTCCTCGACTGGATCTCAGTTGACGGTAGCTTATGCACTGTTCAGTTGAATGACACACTGAAAACCGAAGGGAATCGGGAAACTCATCACTGTCTCTTTGTAATCTCCACTCTCGCATCCACCAACTGCCGAAAACTGTCTAGCCTCCTAATGAAATCCTAACGTTCAGATGTAGTTGTCGTAATAGGTGATTTCAATGCAAAAATGACTAGTCTAAGTCAGACAGAAAGTCATTTAACAGGCTTTTTTAGAATCCCAGTCAAACGAACAGATAACGAAGATTGCCTGCTACAACTGTACTTAAAAAATCATCTATTTCTTGTCGTTGATCACATTTAGTGTTGTAGATGTGCAGTTCAAAAAGAGTTGCCTAACAGGACTTGTTATATTCCAACTACTCATTTGATTCTGACTGGTCGTTTTAGTAATTTAGACCACGTTGTAACACGAACGCGACTTTCATTATAAGTAAACACTAATTACAGAAACACAGAGTACTACATGACTTTACGCTTTTGCCTGAGAGTCCTAATACAAGGCCATAAGATTTTGTTAGCTTTAATCATCGGTATTTATAACTTGTAGCAACTCTCTCTCTCTCTCTCCCTGGTTTGTGTATTTTTATTTAATCTCTAGTGTTTTCCAACTTTATTTCAAACATTATAAAGCGCTAACTTTGTCGATTTATAAATCATAAAGTTCCTATATCTCATTGTGGCAGAGTCTTATGATGTTCATTACTGAATTATCTTTATCGAAAGTGAATTAGCTGCTAACCATTTGAATATTTAAGTACATCAAAATGTTCTCCTTATTTAGTGCTGATTATGGATAGGTAGGTAGTTGATGCATTCATTACAATGGCGATAGAAGAGAGAGTTCTTGAACTCTAAGAAGATGTATCACTATATCCAGCAACTAGTCTAACCGACAGTATATTATCATTCTAATGTGCATAATTATGGAATCAGAAGAGATATAGATAAGCTAACAATAGTGAATATTTTTGATGCTATGGCTTGTAAATCTCCGCCGTTGATTGGAGCGAATTGATCAACGATTATTGGCATATGGTTCTTGTGCCAAGACCTCAACATTGTTGATATTTTCGAATTTCATATTAATCATGGATAGTGGCTAGCAGTGAAATACCGGACGCACGTTTTGTTCTATTTGAGACTCATCAGCTGGATGTACCTGACTCTCAGTTAGTGAAGTTGTTACTGTTAAGCTTTTGACTCAGGAGCAGTTACTTCAAACGCCAGAGTATTGTCCACAAGGCCACTGAGTCAAACTTTAATCTTAGCAATTTATACAGATAATATTTTTATCGGGATATAAAAGGGAAAGAATAAACAGTGTGACTATTTTTAGTCGTTTCTCATTCAAGAAACTGGACAATTGCAAGCGTCGACAACGCTGTAGTGTTAAATAACCACTGTAAAGATTGTTTCTATTCTATCTGTTGTGTTTTCATACCTAAAACAATGTTGTGGTGTTTTTTTTCTCTTTTTTGTTTATCTTCTAGCATGATTTGGTGTTAATTCGAACATTTCTAGGGAAACAACCGGTATCTGAAAAACCCTGTCCTAGTGAATCTGTTGATTTAGCCACAGATTTCAGAAAGACATTAGAATCAGTACTTGAAAAGCCATTTGCTCGTGTTTCATACAATGAAGCGATTAAGTATGTGAATAAGGAAATGAGTACAACAGACTTCAATTTTAAAGAACCATATGATTTGAGTAAACAGGATGAATATAAGATTCTGGATTGGTTTGGAGGAAAACGTCCAGTTTTCATAACACATTTTCCTTTACAGCTTAAACCATTTTACTGTCAATCAATTGATGGTGTTAATGCAGAATGCAGTGATTTATTGTTTCCTGGAGTTGGTGAATTAGTGGGTGCCAGCGTTCGTGAGACTTCTACCACCCTTTTACGTGAGCGTATGAAGTCTAACAATCAGTGTACAGATCACTCCAACTGGTATATTGACTTGCGTAACACTGGCAGTGTTCCTCATGCTGGTTTTGGTCTTGGTTTTGAACGTCTTTTGCAATATATTTTAGACATAGCAAACATACGAGATACAATTGCATTCCAAGAAATACATATAAAATTACTCTGTAAATGTTATCTATTTGTTTCAAAGCCTTATGTACATAAGATGACTTGTTGTTTTACATTTAGTGGAAGGCTAGATAGTTGGTTAGATGAAATCGACAGGAAGCCTTGCACCTAGGTTTTGTTCCTGGTGGCACTCATCAGCAAAGTGTATCTGTAACCTCTAGGGCACTGATCTCCCCTGAAAAGTGAGGTCACACGTCATTCAGTGCTCTAGTCAGATTGCAGGTCGCGATTGACTTCCTATAGTACTGGATTAGATGCGTCGATCAGTCACTGGACTTTCTAGTGCTGGGCACTGACATTCTACTGATCATTTTGCATTGGGGCCGCCACCACCAGGCTCATCATCGCGGTTCACTTTGATAATGTTAGTTGACTGTCAACAATCGAAAGAAATATTTTGTACTATGAAATAACACAATGTCCAACAGCATCCTGTTGCCCATGATTATTTCTGTGCAAAAAAAGCCTTTCAGTCAATGTAATCGAAGTAACTTCATATCTGTGTTTGTTATATCTACTTTGTCCACTGCACACTTAGACCGTAGTGACAACATCACTGTGTTGAGCCTATCTTATTATTCAGTTATCCTTAAAGTTAGACAATTCTGATCACTGTTCAATTTAATCTTCATGAAAACACTTTATCGACTATTATCATGAGCGAAATGAATTCTTTGCTTACCGTGGAGGAGTAGTGTGTTGTTCAACTCCTAAATCGCAGTTGTTGCATACCTCAGTCACACTATATCATATATGAAATTCGTCTTCATCTAAGCATGTAAAAACTGTGCGAATGGATTATTTTCAAATTGATTTGCCTATCATGTCAACTGAATACAAACCATCTACCTAAATAAGAGTAATAACATTGGGATGTTTGTTCAAATGTAACGCTGACATTCATCCATTTTTAGGACACGCTATCCATTGCTAATTCTTATTCATACTTCAGTCTTACAGGTAGCCAGTTGTTGTTTGAACAGCTTAGTAGTAAAGATTAGTGTAAAGAGTAAAAAAGTCGGCACTGTGGTAGATATATGAAAGATCCTACCACCTTATATCACAAGGCCCGAAAATCAGAACTATATAAACTATATCTTAAAGTTGTCGAGTTATTTCGATATGACCATGGATGATAAATTGTATCTGATAGGTAACCCAGTAAATAATACTAAAATAGTAGTAAATATCTCTATTTTAATCGCTTACTTAATGAAGAGTAAGCAATTTTCTGTTTTATGATACCTAGATGGTAACTGAACTCTATTGAATAAGTGAACAGTGTGGTCATCAAGATGAAATACTGCGTATTACAGTGCATCTAACTCGGGGAAAATTCAATTTATTTTCTAAACAACTTCAGAGAATCAATCAATGAATAAGTGTTCAGTGCATGATATTGTTCAATTGCAGTTTAAGTGAGCTAAAATTATTTTTCAAAACACCTCCACCATTTGACTATGTTTCAGTGTTTATGAACACTCTGGTGATAATTAGAATAATTTCCTGTTCACGGTAAACGCCTGTAAATGCTGGAATATCTGTATTCCAGAAGATGAGAAGAAGTCTACTTTCGACAGTTTCATTCTTAAAGCTGTACAGTCGCAAATTTATTCATTTTTCTTGTGTTAGCGTTTGATAACTTAAGTGGTTTGTCAAATATGGCAATAAATGACAAAATACTTGGAAACTCAAGTGTGATGAAAAAGAGTGTTAAATTACTTAGGAAGTGAACCGTGTGCAAATAAACAGGGGATTTCAAAGACTGGAAATTAAGACTGTGAAACAGGACGTGTAAAAAATTCTCATATGTGTAGCAAGAGGTTTGGTGATGCAACTAATGTGAAGACATGCAGTCTTTGGAAAATTTTTCCCCCTTTACAAATGACTTTGACTGGTGAGGTTCTTGAGGCAGAATGACCCATGTTCACGATCTATTCAGTTATAGCTTTTCTTATCGATCCACTGTTACCTCTTTGTAACCGTGTGAGATTATGCTCCTGAATCCTTTTGGATAGCAGTCACATCAAACGACCTATATACCTTACTCCACAAACTGAAGCAAAGTAATGTAATGTGCTCATAGAACTCATGAGATGCAACAGTTTGTCTATCATTGCCTTCAAAATTTTACTTGAATGTCATGGTGTGGCATTCATTCCCTAAATTCAGCTTTTGTTTTTTTAAGGCTTCTGAATCTGGTACTCTGTTTTTTCTTAGTGTATTTTAAGGAAATTATTATGAAATGGTTCTTTCCTTTATTGCTCATATAGTCCCTAGTCTTATCAACTAACACATGCATATACAGACTTAGAAGCTGCAGCCTTTAAAAGCGTTGAGTCCCATATAACTGACACCAGTTAAATGTAACAGTCATACAATTCCGAAGGTGATACTGTTGGACTACGCTTTAAGGATAAGCCTAAAAGATATTATAATTGTAATCAAGATATACTTTATTACAGAAGTATACTTTTCCAAAACAGTTTGTCGCTACTTTTTCCCACAGTCATTTAGGAAGAAAATGCGCAGTGAATTGAAAGAAAAGTTCTCTTTTTAAAACTTTTTTTTGGTATGGACAAAAGTCTTGGTTTGCAGACGAATAGTTACCACTACTTCATTATTCCATACGATCGAAATGTGTACGAATCTTAAATCTAAGTGGATGCATATTGATAAGGAGGTTCGAACTAGGAACGGATAAGGATTTAGTACGCTCTAGTTTTCAGTGGTTTGTAATGGAAACTGCCTTTTTACTAGAAATCTTCATACCCTTTTATAAAGTTTTTGACGTTTTATATTCCTTGACTGATCATTCACGCACACAAACACACACATGTTGTTAAAGGGCTTTCATAAGAGTCGCCCAGCTAGAATTGACATAAGACAGGAGTTATGAAAGTGATTTTCATGTATCCAACTTGCTTCTTGAGAACTTTGTAAAAAGAAGTTTGTTCATAACCATTTCCCCCACCGATGATCTGATCGGTCGGTGTAGAAGTCTTACTCTTGACCTCCTAAAGACTATGCACAATGTAAAGAATGCTAAACTAAGAGGCCATGTAACACTCGATAAGTTTCCTATTATAATAAGATCAGTAATATGATGAATGTCATGAGACTGGAGCAATCAGTATAAATTTCTTTCAACATGCGAAACTTAATTTTAAGTTTGACTAAAACCATTCAGAAAAATTCATAATTCACTACTAAGGTAAGGTGACTCAGTAAACGCAACCACTGATTCACATTAGGTCTCACAAAATATTCCTCTGTCCCTGAAAGAGTGTAAGTCAACGAGCAGTTTGATAATTCAGCACCTATTATCGATTCATTATTCCACCAAAACCATCTACTTAAGCTACTAACAACCTCAATGGTTTAAAAGTAATTTGGATTTGTGATTATTTGATAACAGTCCAAGTATTGATGATTTGGCGAAGAAAACTGAACTCTGCAATAAGGTATGTGTTCATCATTTGTTCTGTTCCTTTTAAGCTACTGATGCTCCCTCCTCTGATGCTTACGTCATTATTACTTACTAGTCGACTGTTATCATTTTCAGTATATCTTATGTTTCTCCCTTCGAACGTTTTATACCTATTCAGCGCATCTAAAAACTATTTACACCTATTCAAATTGTTCTACAAAATTTTAGCCCGCTAATACATTCGTAAATTGTAATGTAATTTGATTAATAGTGGCTAGTAGTGGAATTCAAATAGCGTGTTTTTATCCTACTTGAAATTTGTCAGCTGGGTGTACCCGGATTTCAGCGAATGTTGTTGCTTCCATTGAGACTCCAACCCTAGACCCATGGATTTAAACACTAGAGTATTATCTGTTAGTCCACATGATGTCAAGAAGTAAATGATTGTTAGGATTTTGTATTAATTACGCGAGCCTTCAAAATGCATATTGTACAAAATTAAGCACATATCATCGATAAGTAATTTGTGTATGCATCTCATATCTCCAGCTACTTCATATATATACAGTGAGAAATAGAATGTAACTAAATTTACGTTGCTTAACTTTTAAAAATCGAATTTCCTCTTCTTAGCACAGCGCACCTTGCTAAGAGTTTTTAGTATGGCATAAATTAAGATTGGAAATGACTAAATTATTTATTCTTGATTATGGTATATGATTATAGTATATTTAGTAGTAGTATACATCAGTTTCTTATATTATGCACTCTTAAACTTGCGTGTAAATTGTTGGGAAGAGAAGTTTAGTAAAATGAAAACACATGTCTAGAACAGTTATATTTCGATCGATTATTCTTCTTCAGTTGTCCAAAGCAGTTATTCCATGAAATTAATTTGCAAGTGTTTTTATACAAATTTTTATTTTCTAGCTGTTTATTATTGTAACTTGTTTGACTATTCAAAAATGGGTGTCATTTTAATACAGTGTGTCACTCACTCAATTTCAAGGTTACTTCACTTTTGTAAGTATTCGATAGTGTTTCAAGAACTTTTAATTTAAACGAATGAATATGCAAGGAGTTTCTGTTAAAACAGGAACCACCTATAAAAGAAACTTTTTATTTTTCCTACTTCTGTCATTTCGTGACTTAGCGCGACTATCCACCAGTTGGAAGTGAAGCAGACAGCAACTGAATACTTTGGTGGATTGTCGCTCTATATTACGAACTGATAGAATTA